AAAACCAATGCTGCATCCTACGCATAGTAAGTGAGGACCATCTAGTTAGGCTATACAGTTTGCAATGATGAGTCCTATAGGGTGAATTTGATATATAACGCAGTGCAGCATGGTAGAGTGGGTCAAGTTTGGCCAAAACAGTCGGACAGGCAAATCTATAGATGGTATCACCGTAGTCCAGCTGGGACAGGAATAAGTCAGAGACCAACCTTTTACGGGATGAAGTTGAAAAACAACATTTAAGTATGTAAAGGAAGCCAAGAGTGAATTTCAATTTCTTAGATAGAACTTCAATGTGGTGTTTGAAGTTCAGATTACTGTGCAACCAAAAGCCAAGATATTTGTAGGTATCGACAAACTCAACAGAGACGCCACCAAGCATTGCTTTGGTTTTCTAACTGTTCAAAAGCAGTTTGGAATCAAGAAGCGCATGCTGCAGCGTGATGACATCAGATTTTAATTGGACACGGCCATATCCAGAGAAGGAGCTCATGAGTATACAATAGTGTCATCAGCATACATATGATAGGTAGAAAATTGCATCTGATTACAAATATTGTTTACATATAATAAAAAGAGCAAAGGCCCCAAAATAGAGCCCTGTGGAACTCCCTTCTCCAAGGTGACAGGCTCAGAGACAGTACTACCCAGCCTGACGCATTGAGTACGGTCGGTTAGATAACTCTAAAACCAGCAAATGGCATTATGACCGAAACGAGACATCAACATAACATTAGACATAATGTGGTGATCTACAGTGTCAAATGCTTTGGCTAGGTCAATAAACAATGCAACACATACAGATTTGTTATCCAAAGCAGCCTTAATATCGTCTAAGACTTTCAGACCGGCAGTCACAGTACTGTGCTTTGATCTGAATCCAGATTGCATAGGGTTAAGGATGTTGTGTGAATTTAAAAAATGTTGTAGCTGAGTAGAAACTAGGGACTCAAGAATCTTTGATAATACAGAAAGATTTGAGATAGGACGATAGTTATTTAACTCCGTGGGATCACCAGCTTTCAAGAGGAGCGATACCAGAGCTTGCTTCCACACAGCTGGCAGTGTGTGAGTGGACAGGGAGAGATTAAACATATCAGTTACTGGTTGTGCTATAATCTGAGCTGCCGGTCCTGAGGCCGTCAGGACCGGCAGACTTTTTAGGGTCAATTGAGTGCAAACCGTGTTAGACTTCAGAGACCGAGAAATAAGCTAAATCAAAAACAGGGGAGTTCATCTCTTGATACGGCTGTGAGTGCGACCATTTAGAGAGTCGTGACTTTGCTCATCAAAAATGTGACCAGCCTTTTTGAAGTGAGCATTGAAAGCATTAGCCATACCATCTGAATCTGAAATAAAAGAATCACTGACCTTCCATTTTTGTGGGAAACTAGAAACCTTCTTGTTCTGAAGTGATTTAATTGTTTTCCAGAACTTAGAATGGTCATTAAAACAATCAGTAGTTAAGCTCAGATAGTAATCAGCTTTAGATGTTTTAATAAGGGCTGAACATTTATTTCTGAGGACACGAAAAAGAAGCCAGTCATCACTAGTGTTAGACTTTCTAGCTAAGGACCATTGCTTATTTCGATCATGAATGAGATCAGATAGTTCTCTAGTAAACCATGGAGTGTTCCTATTCTTAACTCTGAATTTTCTAAGGGCGGCATGTCTATTAATAATCGATAAAAAGTGATCAACAAAAAATTGGACGGCAACATCGACAGATGGAATTAACGTTATGAAGTGCCATTTAACCTCCGCCAGATGGTGTAGGAAAGCCTGCTCAGAGAAGTGTTTGAAGCAGCGCCTGAGCACAATAAGGCCCTTGGCTTTGGGCAACTTAGTGCTCCTAACGCAAGCAATAGTGCAATGGTCGCTGATATCATTAGGAAAAACAACAACAGACACAAACTTATGAGCTGCATTTGTTAGAATGACATCTATAAGGGTATCGTTATTGGGTTTGGCAGGGTTTATCCTAGTGGGACTATCAATAAGCTGAGTTAAGTTCAAAGAATCACAAACCTGCTTAAACTGTGAAGATGTATCACTCAACCAGTCCCAATTTAAATCACCCAATAATATGATTTCAGAAGAAAACGTGGACAACAATTCAGTAAGGCTAGTAATTGCATCCATGATGGCCGATGGAGGCCTATAACAGTGAGAGGAGCTTTTGCTATAGTTAGTTGGACTGCTAGCAACTCAAATTGCCTTGGAATTGAAATTGAGTGAAGGACTGAGCACTGTAGTTTCTCAGCAGTGTATATTGCAACACCACCAGCTCTGCCCTTACGATCCGCTCTGAATACATTAGATCCATCAATGTGAATAACAGAGTCAGTGACAGACGGTTTTAACCAGGTTTCAGAAACTACAACAATATCAGGCTTAGCAACTAAAAACCAGGTCTTGAAAACATCTAATGTGAGCACTATGGCTTCTAGCATTAACATGCAGAAACCCCAATACTTGCCTACAGCTAAACTCATTCGGAGAAGGAAGCAGAGAAACACTCAGGACCAGGGTTCATGTTAACGTTACCAGAGAGTAATAGCAGTAACAATATTAACAGTCTGGAAGATGATTTTTTCACATGGGATCTGGATGCATCACTCCTCAGGGGGGCGGGGCTGCTCCGATCCTTCGATATTAGCGAGTCCAGAGTCAAAAGGGCGGAGAGTGCATTTCGTGCCATGAAACGTCAGCTTTTGGTAAAAACTATCCGATGGAGTCAGTGCTCCAGAGGTTCCACCATCCGAATATCCGAAGTGAACAGAGATATTGCTGGGAGGCAATCCGTCAGTTTTGCCGACATGCGGATCCCAGGAAAAAAGCGAACACAAGGGAAGCTTTAGGCAACATTGTGCCTTAACACACCCAATTCCGGATCAGCAGCTCAGGTGGATCAGCAGCTCGGGTGGATCAGCAGCTCGGGTGGATCAGCAGCTCGGGTGGATCAGCAGCTCAGGTGGATCAGCAGCTCAGGTGGATCAGCAGCTCAGGTCGATCAGCAGCTCGGGTGGATCAGCAGCTCGGGTGGATCAGCAGCTCGGGTGGATCAGCAGCTCAGGTGGATCAGCAGCTCAGGTGGATCAGCAGCTCAGGTGGATCAGCAGCTCAGGTGGATCAGCAGCTCAGGTGGATCAGCAGCTCAGGTGGATCAGCAGCTCAGGTGGATCAGCAGCTCAGGTGGATCAGCAGCTCAGGTCGATCAGCAGCTCAGGTGGATCAGCAGCTCAGGTCGATCAGCAGCTCAGGTGGATCAGCAGCTCGGGTGGATCAGCAGCTCAGGTCGATCAGCAGCTCGGGTGGATCAGCAGCTCAGGTGGATCAGCAGCTCGGGTCGATCAGCAGCTCGGGTGGATCAGCAGCTCGGGTGGATCAGCAGCTCAGGTGGATCAGCAGCTCAGGTGGATCAGCAGCTCAGGTGGATCAGCAGCTCAGGTGGATCAGCAGCTCAGGTGGATCAGCAGCTCAGGTGGATCAGCAGCTCAGGTGGATCAGCAGCTCAGGTGGATCAGCAGCTCAGGTGGATCAGCAGCTCAGGTGGATCAGCCCCCGACAGCACGGCAGGACAGACAGCAATCCAGAGTCCGAAAGAGCGACAGCTCAGAGAGCAAACAATCCAGTCACAGCGAGGCACCGGCACAAAACAGCCCAAACACTTAAGCTTTTAAAACGTTTTTAAAAGCGCAGCAGACCAATTTAAAAACAGGTCTAAAAAGCTAAATAAAAATGATAAAATGTCAGTATGCACAAGAAGAACGAAAATGAGACAAACACTAACAGAGACAGAAACAAATCAACGCGCTGCCATCTTGGAACACACACCTGGGTGCAATCAGACGAACTCTCTGGGTGTCTCCGAGGAAAGACACCCAGACTCAGGGTCTGGGTGTACGATGGGTGATCCAATACCAAACGTTTCCCAGGTCCAAAACAACGAGCCCCCATCTGTTGCAACCCGGCTCCTGGGCTGCAACAAAAAGCAGGGAGGCGAGACAAAGGGTAAGAATATAACAATTGTTCATTCTCAATAAACAATTTAAGCAAAAAGAACCAGTCACAGGTCCCCGAGGCTGGCACGGAGAGAGTGCCCAGAGGAGTGCGAGAGTGAGTCATATCCGGCTTGGCTCCTCTTGTTTCTTCCGGCAGGTGCAGCTCATCAGGCACTGGAACCTGCAATCACCCACAAACACACACACGAACAGACGGCACCCAACGTGGTGTGGAGGGGTCGTCACACGCGTTTCTCTAACAGGGCTGCAAAAGAGGGGTGTGAGCAGTATGAGGCAGTGGGTGATCTGTTTGGTATTTTAAGCAAAGAACTCCACAGACATGTTTTGTATAGGTATGGCCCTACAATATATGTTTTCCAATATAGCATGATAGGTCCCCTTTAATTTACATCAGAATCAGAAATTCTTTTTTTTTTTTGTATAATTCTTTTTTTTTCTTTTTATAATGGGACACAGGGTTTGGTCTGGATCCGGACCTTGATCCGGAGTTTGAGAAGCCCTGCTCTATATGATCATTGTATACTTCATCATTTGAATGTTGAATGGTCTCCAAGTTTCCTTAAGGTGTAATGCCTCACAGTTTATGGATACATGTTATTTATTTTTCTTTTATTGTCGACTACACATTATTATTGAAGAAAGGAAGAAAATGGAACAATGTATTTTATTATATAAAGCTTAAATATGCTAAAAAATTGTGTTAAAACTCTGAATGCCATAGTCATGTATCGTATAGTTTAACGCTTTAGCAAAATATACAGGATGTATAACAGAAATCCTTAAAAACATAGGAACTCATAAAGACCTATACTGTATTTCGCACTTCCTCTTTCGAGGAGATGAACTTTCTATGCACTTCCCATTTCCAGGAGAACATCTGTTATGTATTTCCTTGCGGGAAGTGAACAGTTAACCACAGCAACGAAGAAGGTCACCTCTAAGCGCACCAGCTTGCATGCAAAGCATGTGACAAGCCGCGGGAAAGAAGAGGATAAAAGAAGACTGGAGAACATCGGAGAGCAGTTCCTCTTTGAACCCAGTTTGAACTTGAACTCTCCAGCTTGTTTAGCAAGCCACGGAAGACGATCGTTTGCTAACTCACAGTGAGTATATATATGTATCTGGGCAAAACGCATTTCATTTTTTATTGATGTGTGGTGTTATAACTTGTGAAACTTTAATAAAACTACCTGTTCACATTTGTGAGAGGAAACTAAAGTTCATGTAGCCCTTCTGATTATTGTTGGATAGGTGACAAGTCAGACGGCAATGTAACCTGTTCCCACGCAGCTTGAGTCCTGAGTCCAGTTTGATTCCAGTGTCCTGTTCCTTGGCTGAGGATCGATCCCGGACAGAGTCTTGCGGAGACACCAGAGAGAACAACAAGTAAGTCGCACCTAAGATAACTCTGTTGCTGGATTCTATGTCATATTGGAGGTCGCCACGATCGGTTGATCTTAAATACGGCAGCAGTGCTTTGCGGGTATTAAATCCCAAGGTTTCAGAGGTGTGTTCATTAAGGTCTGTGTTTAAAGTCTAAAGGGATAAACTAACAGGGTAAAAGTTGATATATGTGTAAAACTGATGAATGGAGGTAGTATAGAAAGAAGGGAGTTTGTCCGTACCTCGTGGTGGTGTGTGGGTCACACCTTTTATGCCCGGACTGAGTAAAAACCGTAACCTTGTAACATTATATAAAAGGACATATGTTGCACTTAAAGTCATGGTCAATATCCAGTAGAATTGTGATGCCAATTGGTCTGGCATAGTTGTCACCTGCAGAATGGCGCAACCTTAATTGGAAGTCTAAATGTTACTCTAACTGTTAAACGTGTGGCTTTAATCCCTTCATGACACAGGCGACCGGCCACGCCCTCGCAGCTGGACTGGAAAAATATAAATGTGGCCCGAGTAAGGCTGGAGGTAAGCTGGAAACATGAGGAGACACCAGTGGCGAACCGTCAGGGCCTTCAAGGTATTCAGAGAATACCCTGGAACACTCAGATAAAACAAACACAAAATCGATTTAATTATATAAATAAAATGTAATAAATAAATGTATATAAAATGAATAAATGAGGTATCCGTGTTGTTGATCTGTAATATTACAGTGTTACGTTGATGTGTTTGTCCTTCTCGGACCATGCTCTACGCATTTCAGTGGTTTTGTGTTAGAAAAGAAAGCAACCAATCAGATCTTGTTCTGGGTCTCTGGGTAGAATATCCTTCAACAAGGTATTCTACATCCTTGATAGAAAGCTCTGGCCGTTGCACTGAATGAGAGCGTACGTTTGGACTGACCGTTTGATCAACCAATCAGATATTGATTTGTAGCCAATGGGCGTGTTCTTCCAGAGTTTCCCTCGGTTCCAGGGTATTCTAGAAGGCCTGCTAGTTAACTGGCTCGAGACAGAGGATCTAGATCACATGTGTCAAACTCAAGGCCCGGGGGCCAAATCCGGCCCTTGGTGGATTTAATTTCGGCCTGCAGGATAATTTCGAATGACTATTAGATCTGGCCCTCCGGTATATTGCACGCACACCTTCACTCCATCCTGAGGGTCTCCTCAGCTCAGAGCCTGAGCCCAAACATTGATGACCTTGCACCCAAGATGAGATGCCAAGTATCTGAACTAGCATCTCAGAGCAGCAACCTGAGTTTAATGGATGCTTCCTTCTGCACTTTCTCTCACGACAACAGGGCATGTTTGTTTCTCTTTGAGGGAGATAGTTCTGTTGAAGCTGTTGTTGGCCTGTGGGGAAATGTAATCATAAGAAATGACTCTGAAAAGCTGCAGATAGAGCCATAAGAAATTAATGCAGCTGATTATTTAATGTTTAATGTTGTTTTTATGGGCAATAATTGAAGCTTTGTTAGTTCCAGGTTTAATATGTGCAATAAGTTCATTTCAATAAGTTTTGCAATAAACATTGAACCAGTCCGGCCCTCGACTAGTACCCATTTTTTTATTTTGGCCCACTGTGTGTTTGAGTTGGGCACCCCTGATCTAGATGAATGCGACAAAGCAATTCATGCCGTTTTATTGTTTTTAACGTTGAAATGACAAGTGCAACAGGTGAAGATGAAGTTGTTGCGGAATTGTTGTGAGTTCCCTTTTCAAGACGACACTTCAGTGAAAAGACGGACATTATAATGCTGGGGGGGGGCAGCGGCGGCGGGGGGTGTGTGTGTGTCTACAGAAGGTCCAGTTGAGATAGACACGGTTCGCCACTGAGAGACACACACACACACTCACACTCACTCACACTCTAAGACACAGACACTCTCTATCTCTCTCTCTCTCTCTCTCTCTCTCTCTCTCTCTCTCTCTCTCTCTCTCTCTCTCTCTCCATCTCCTCTCTTCCTCTCTCTCTCCTTCTCTCTCT